TGAATTAAAACAAATTTCAGAATTCGCATCCCAGAGAATAATGTCAAGTGCCAGCGGCAATAGGTCATTAAAAAGTGCACCCGAAGAAGTGCTCCCTAAAAGTTCGAAGCACCAACCCATGGGTTGGTACCCCGTTGTGATGCTACTGAGCGCAGTTCACCTTAAGGATTAGCGACCCTTATAGCCTCATTATACCTGTTTCTAAAACTGAGCGCAATTCACCGTGCGCCTTTGAGTAATTAACATTTTAATATTAAAATTGGGAATTCTGGTAATTTATGGCCAAGTTTGGGATGATGTGACAATAGAGCGGAGGCTTCACAAGAGAGACGGACCTTTTTCTTTTGTCAAGAAATTCTGGCCTGATCACCAATTACCGCAAACCCTCCATAAATTATTCCAAGTTTCAGATTTTTAATATTAAAATGTTAATTATTCAAAAGCTATCAACTTTATCATTATTCTATTTTCACAAATACCACAGAAAAAATCAAAGAATTTTATTATGAAGTTAATTGAATTTTTTCTCCAAATTTAATTTTGAAGGTCTCACTGCTATACGCTAAAAATTTTGTACAATATCAAAACATTAAAGTAAAGTGTATTTAATCTTCTATAGTTTACACTATCAAGTTTAATTAGAAATATTTATTGTTGCGTCGACCCTAAAACTTGGAACACCCTGCACTTGGGAAACAGCATCAGTAAAGTTAATGAAACTCGTTTAGAAATAAATTTCAAACGTTGCTGATTTTTTATAGAGAAAACATTGTGTAAAAATTTTATAACCCAAGTTCCGTGTAAATAGTCGACTTGGTCAGTCGTAAAATATCAAAACATCAAATTTAAGTGTATTTAACCCTCTACACTATCAACATTCTTTTATAATCAATTAGAAAATTTTTTTTTTGCGCCGACCCTAAAACTTGAGACACTGTACATTAAAAAAATTCTACAAACTCTTTGAAATATGAAAAAAAACTTCTTTTAACTTTCCGCTGTCGACCGACTAGCGATTTTCATATTACATACTTCTTGGTCGAGAGTAAGATCCTTTACATATCCTTGCATCAAACTGGTCTTCGGATCGGAATCAATCAGCGGAAACTTTGTCATTCGAAGTAGTTTCAAGGAAAAGCTTGAAAATTCCTACAAAGAGTGGTCGAACTTTTCTTATTAATGCCAAAGTTCCAGATTGCTTCTATTGACAAGGGAATAAAGAGTCAACAACGTATGTGAACCTTGACGAATAGCGGATAAATAATTGGGTTAAATCAGAGCTTTTGTTAAATTTTTGATAAGCAAATATTGTGTAGGATAAAAAATGAGATATGTTACAAACAGTCTATTATTGGGTATGTGGTGAGCTATTGAATCACAAATTGTTTATTTCACGATTCATAACCTTAAACAAATTGTAATCAAAATAATTATCATAAACAAGTATGAGCATTAATGCATCATTAAAACTGATTTAACTTATTTGTTGTGTTCTAGTTTTCGTTTATTAACAGTAAACACATAATTTACACTTGGGCTGAATAAAGTTGAAGGTAATATTTTCTGATTACCTCATTTTTAATAATACTTGCCGACACTCTCGTTCGCTTTTACAATATCCCATTCCATTTACTTTTGCTTTTAGCAGATAAGGTATAATACTGAGCGTCCTCATTGCTAACTAAATTTATTTTTGTTTATTCAAAAAAGTTTTCTAGACAAAAATTGTAAAGAAGTAATCTCAAAAAAGATAAAGACAACTATCTGAATATTCTGATGCCACAAAGCCCATTTGGGAATGTACATTTTCAACAATATACACTATTTTCCAAACAAAAAAAATATTATCTTTGATTTTACGCCAAAACTACAAAGGAAAATTTTTTTTTGCTTCACCTGAAACGAGCAAATCTGTAATTAAAAGTTAAAGTTTCGTTATTCTAATTCAGTGAAAAGAAAAGTTTTTTTTCTCTTGATTTTACACATAGAATCATTTTTCTCTGCTTTTTAAGTGTCATCACATTGGCGGTTTTATTTGTTTGACAACTATACGTCATTTTGACAATTAATTCATTAATTGAATAATGATGATTTCTGTTAAAAATAACTGTTTTTTATCTTAAAGCTGTTTATTTATTCTACAGTTGGCAACACATTACCTGGGAATCTGTGCTTGAAATTTTACACACGCATGGGAAGTGAAAATGACCATTCACCGTTTTCGTCTTGTACAGCATTTTTGTAATAACTTGCAACAATAAAAAATTTATACTCTAAAGTGAACATTATTTCGGTCAAAATGAATAAAACGCAAACTTGTCAAAGTTTCCGCTGACATTTGATGTCAAAAATCAGGATTATCATCTGAAGGACTTTAATCACGGCCTACTCTAATTTTTTTTTTTTGATCGTGCGGTATTTACAAGTAAGTATATTATGTTAATACTTTACGTGGCGAAGCTTCACGTTTATTTTGCCATACGCGGAAAAAAAAATTAACTAGTGTCTTCAAAGTAACCGTTAAGTTAAAAAAAATGTGCAGTTGTATTTTTATTTTCCCTAGGAAAGTTGTAACATTTAAGATTTAACATTTCAAGATAAAGAAATGTTTCCGTGACTTACTAATAACAATAAATGGAAATGTCGATAACAGGACACTAAAAACTTCAGTGGAAAAATACAATTAGAATTCCTAAAATACCATAACATAAAACGAGTTACAAAAGTACTTAGAGTCTATAAATCAAAAACCAGATATAAATGACAATCACAAAAAAGATGTTTTCCATGATACCTACAATAATTATTCAGTATTTAAAATTATAATAGCAGAAAATACTGCGCGCACTTGAAAAGCTTTAAATTCAAACGAATGTCTAGAGAACTTTATACACGTGTTACATACTTTTTCTACGACCAACACGAAAAAATTACTTAAATTAAAAATTAAATTAAATGACAGAAAGCTAACTTCAGCACGTGACTAATATGACAGTTGCTATTAGCAACGTAACTAATACGCATATTAGTCACGGCTTGTCAAGATGTATATATAAGGTCACTTAGCGCCATGGAAACATATACGATAATCCGTGTTTTAGATGTGGGAGTAGAGGAAGTATAAAAAAATCACGACTTTTGTTATTGTAGGAACCAACAAATTGTTGTAACTTAACCTTTCAAAAAATCTCTACTTTTAACAAAGATTCTATGCACGTTTTATTTATTATTCTTAAGATTTTAAGTATTTATTTTTTAATATTCTAGATGCATGTTAACGTCTCTTACTCAGTTTACACCATTTTTGCTCATCAATAAAAACACTTTTTTAACTAATTTTATGATGTTGATTTTAGATCTGACCTCCAAATTTTTTCATCACGTCCAGTTATTGAAATATACATATTTCAAAAAAAAATTAAAACTAAAACTATTTAAAACATGTGAGCAAAAACTTGAATATTGAACAAGTAAGGAGGTGCCCAATACTGGTTCTGGGGGAAAATATACTTAGTTCTTTTGACGGTTTACACCACCTGTGGATAAAATCTGGACATGATGGTTTTCAGATCTGTACGTTTCAGCGTATCGAAATTGGTTACAAAAGTTTAGTTTCATTAAGTGAGCAGACATTTTTAACTTGCAAACTAGTGTTATTAATAAAACACAAAATTATAGTTATTATAAAATTAGAGTTGCATTTTTACCTAGGAAAAGTTATAACAACATTTTTGTTTGTAATTTTGAGAGTGAATTGATGGTTCTAAAAACCTCCCTATTGAACTCTCCGTTTGAATCACGCTGTATATTAAAATCACTCAGTACGTGAATATGAAATTAAAACACAACTCCTAAAATAATTTTAATTAAATAATATCAACGATGTTAGAGTTTTTTTTACAAAAAGGTCAATCACTCCTTTGACCAAGGGTTGCCTCGATTCCAGCAAAAATAAATCATGTTAGCAATTACTAACCAACAAAAGTCCAATTAAACAATTAAAAGCTTCCAGCATCACAGACATTTACTTTGATGAAGATTTAAGTAATTAGTCTACTCACAGTTAAAACTTTTACAAAATAAGTATGTGGTAACCAAGTCTTCAAAACTACTTATTGATTTCGCCATCTTTTTTATTGTTTTATAAATGACTTATGTAATAAAATCATGGTGTCAACCACTCACCTAAAATATTCATAAATTAATAATAATAATTGTTTTATACTATTTTTAAACAATGAAGTAAATGTGTTGGTAGAAAAACTCAATAATAATAATAATAATTACTTTTACAAAAAATATACAGGGTGAATATAAAGTATGGAACCAAGCGGTTTTATTTTTAATCATTTGCCTCCAGAAAATAATAATTAATATAAATTAAAATAAAATAAAAAATGTGATCATATTTTCATAACGAAATTTTGTTTTGTTTTTGAGTTATACGATTTTTTTCTCGAAATTGCCAATTTATGTGAAAAATTTTTTTTGAAAAAATTAAATATAAAGCAGATAGATGTAATCCTTTATGAGAAAAATGATTTTATAGTGGGTTGCCATATAAAAAAATATTTTTTTGTAGAACTCAAAAACAAAAAAAAATTTTGAAAAATTTTATTCTTTTTAAAACATCACATATTTATCACTCATCAATTAGTTTTTTCAAAAAATAAATAGTTTAAGCAAAAAACGTTTGGTTCCATACTTTTTATTCAGCTGGTATGTATAATAATCAACGCAAATGTCTCAGTAGCCGATTAAGTATACTATTATATTCAAATGTCGATTACAAAACAAAATAGTTCAAAGTTATCTAAACTTTGCACAATAAAATAGTCTTAGAAAAAATGAAGCAAAAAACCTTATCAAAGTGATACAATTAAATAATAATTACGCATACTCGGCATAATTATTTACAACTGACGTCTAGCAAACTCATTATAACAAGTCTGACGTCTTTTTCCGAGCAATAAATAATTAATTTAATATCAGATACCTACCGTGTTGAAGAGCGGCCATAGTAACAACTGCCTGTCATTTATCGATTACAGCTAAGGAACAGAGCAAGCCTTGGAACAAAACTTCTTGTGTGAATCCTCCCTAAAAACATAAAATTAGTTAAGGGCCTTATTCTCGACTTGCTTGTCTACTGAAAAATTGGAACGGTCTTAAAAGAGATCCTTGGGGCACTCTGTGTATATGATTAAGTCGAAATCGATAGGGTTATCGGCACACCATCGGGGTCAAAGGAAATTCACCCTTTCATGTCGAAATTTGGTATTTATTTAAACAAACGCTGTGTTTTCAAGGAAAATTTTCGATTTGAGTTTATCGAAAATCTATTCTATTTTCAGTGGTATTATTAATAAAACGTGTGTGTATAAATTTATGGGGAACTTTAATTGAGGTAGCAGCAAACTATTACGGGAGATTTTACGACTGACCAAGTCGACTATTTACACGGAACTTGGGTTATAAAATTTTTACACAATGTTTTCTCTATAAAAAATCAGCAACGTTTGAAATTTATTTCTAAACGAGTTTCATTAACTTTACTGATGCTGTTTCCCAAGTGCAGGGTGTCCCAAGTTTTAGGGTCGACGCAACAATAAATATTTCTAATTAAACTTGATAGTGTAAACTATAGAAGATTAAATACACTTTACTTTAATGTTTTGATATTGTACAAAATTTTTAGCGTATGGCAGTGAGACCTTAAAAATTAAATTTGGAGAAAAAACATTTCAATTAACTTGAATATTTTCTACATGATAAAAATTCTTTGATTTTTTTCTGTGTATTTGTGTTTAATTACTCAAAATCCAGTAACTTTTCATTATTCAATTTTCACAGTTACCATTAGAAAAAATCAAGGAATTTCATCATGTAGAAAAGATTCCAACTAATTTTTTTCCAAATTTGGTTTTCAGGGCTCACTGACATATGCTAAAAATTTTGAACAATATTAAAGCATCAAATTGACGTCTATATAATCCTCTATCATTTGCACTAGCAACATTTTTTTTAATAATCAATTAAAAATATTTATTTTTGTGCCGGCCCCAAAACTTGAGACAGCCTGTACATACAATAAAGCCATTAAATCTAAAGCTTTAACTAATTAAAGTAATTATAGAAAAACTTAGTTTTAAGAGAAATATCAACTGTCATATTCCTTTATACCAAGCAACAAGCAATGTCTTCAATAAAAATTCTCTTCTAAAATCTAAAGATGAATCTTGTCCAGAATTTATTTATACAGGGTGTTTGTGGATTGCGAGCAAATATTTTAACCACTAAGAGCACTTGTTATGAAAAGTCGAATTGAAGACCAAACAAATTCCGTATCCAAATTTTATTTTTGCAATTTCCCTCCTATGATTTTCACGAGCCTTTCAGTGTGTCTGTCCTTGTTAGTTGGAAGTAAAAATATCAATGAAAATAAATTGCATTGAATGTTGACCGTGAAAGTTTTTATACAGAAAAAAGGAAACTTTTTGACCAAAAAAATTATCACTTGTTTACACGTGTCAGTTTAGTTAGTCGTTAATGCGCTTTCGGGTGAATTGTGCACATCGATTTGAAATCAAATTGTCAATCAAGTCATTATGGCCAACTACTCAAACGCCACATATTACCTCAACGTATAACTAGTGCCGTTTATCTGGATTTTTTGGAAAATGTGTTGTCCGATCTGGTGAAGGACGTGCCCTTGGCGACACATGCGGTATTTACAAGTAGAGCTCCATCAGATTATGCCAAAGTCGCCACCAATGGATTGAACAATCATTTTCCCTAGAGGTGGCTTGGTCGCCAATGACCACCGCGGTCACCAGATTTAAATATATACGTGTGTTTTTTTGGGGGTTCACATGAAACAATTAGTGAATTAGAGTACGCAGCTCAAATTTATACCTTCAAAGGGCTGTGTGTGCGAACGCAAGCTTCCCTACCTAGCCAGAAGAGTACAAGAAGTGTGCATTGCCAACGAATGACCACATTTCGAGCAATTTTTTATAATAGCAAATATTGACCCACTAACATGGACACTGATCTACCCTAATGTAGCAATATTTTTTTTGTCTTTAAGCTGTTTACGTTCCAAAGTTTTTTCTTATGAATGAACGTAAACATCGTATTAAGACATAGGCGGGGACCGGTTTTCAGCCTCAATTTATTTTTAATTTTAACTCAAAAATGAGATGCTTTCGACAAAAATTGGAATAACGAAAGTTGCTTCTTTTGCCGAGTTCTATTAGTGGTTAAAATATTTGCTCGCAATCCTCAAACACCCTGTATTTGTATTAAAAGAAATAGAAAATCTATTCTGAATAAACCAATTTTTTACATCTGTGCTTCTAATTTTCACACTTTGTCATAGAACTTGTTTACAACATTTAGATCACTATCAGCAGTCGTAGTAGTAACTAACATCTCTTTGAAGTGTACGTATGTAACATACATACAACATTCAACTAAACGCTAAGTTGTATCTAAAAGCCTCAAGCAAGAAACGTGTTTGCAGCATCATCCCCCCCGATGCCCTTGTTTAAATCAAATTGTTAAATTTCTGTATAAATCATTTGTTAAAGCAAGCACGAGGAAATTCTATGGCTCTGGGAACAAAACAGAGCAATTGATTTTAACAATTGGTGGCGTACGTGCTTTCCTTGTTCACAAATTGTAGGGATTTATCCAGACTTGCCTTTTCACTAATCCGCTAAACGTCTATCAAGCGTACAAATACAGGATGTGTAGAGATCGGAGGAAATATCTTGCTAACTTTTTTCTATGATTTACACAAATATTCGTTTTTTCTATTGGAGTGTGGAAAAAGTGGTCTTTAGATTTATGCATTAGAGACTAAACTTGTTTACTGCAATTACTAGAAAATTAATTTTTAAAACTGCAGACATGTTAATAATTTACTATAAGAATTATCATATTATTGAAATTAAATACCAAACTAATTAAACTACTAACGGTCACTGCTAATGAGCGATTGCTCTCTTAGTCGACAAACAACAAATAACGATATCGATAAATTATTGTTAGAAAAGATACGTATTATATGTAGGTATAATCTAAATATAATAATTATAAAAAAATAAGAAAAAGAAACATATATGTCTCATACATTTTAATATGTACAATAATTAAGTATTGTCCTCTATGTATTCATAGGTTATTACTTGACCAAATACTGTTGACGCGACGAGATGCGTAAAAAGAAAAATATTTTCATAGCATTTCAGTCTGTATATTTTTAACTACACGTTTTTAAAGTCTAAAGGCCGGTATACAGAACATTTATTGCAATCCAATTTTAATTCGTTTCCTGTAATTTGCCGTGAAAACTTATTTTTCTTTCTTCTTAGATATATTCTAGTAACGAACTCATTTGGGTACTTTAATAGCTATCTAGCGTGCGTCAATAGCCTAGTGTACCTATGTTTTAATGTCGGCGACAATACCGTTGGAAGTACATTTATGTCAATAAATTTATCAATTTCCCGAATTTTCTATGGCAAACATGAAAAAATTTTGAAAATTCATTTCCAGAGTGCGCCCAATGACCAATGTTAGTTGGAGTTGAATTTCCCAATGCCTTCATGACATTGCTACATGTCACGAACCAATGCAAAATTTCCTAAATTTAAAAATTTTCCTTTTTTTCTCTAAAAACAGCATAAAAAGCGCAACACAGAAATTGTATAAAAGGCTCGTTATAGAAAAAGCGATTTAAGCAATCGTTTGTTCTTCAACTCACCGCCGCGCGGCTCATTTCGGAATTTCAAATTCTTGCTTAGATGGATGCCTTTTCTAACTTGTATTTTCATAATATAATATTTTCCAGTGATTTAATTTCCAGATATGTTTATTCGCTAATGACATCATTTTTAAAAGAGAATTAATTATCAATATTGATCTAAAATTCTAATGTATTCGCCTCTAAAAACTTTATCGTTGTCTTTTAAAACACAATACCTGTGATTCAAAAGTGTCGGACCATCACTTGGGTAGTGATAAAGGCCATCCAACTGAGTTAAAAGTTTCCAATGCAAAGCCTTTTTTCACGAGATATAGTATCTCTTCAAAAATTAGATTTTGGGTTAAATTTTGGCCGTTCAGATTATATAATCTTAATTTTAATTAGCGGAAACATTAGATCTTGCAAGTCTGAGCAGATACCTTTTGAAAAAAAAATACCAATATGTGTCTTATGGTGTAAAAAAAACATTTAACAAATTAGCAAATTCAACAATAAATTAAATCCAACAACATCGAAAAAAAAAGAACTAAGATCCCTACATGATAATTTAGAAATTGACAGTTCTGTTTTTCTCAAAAAAAGGCTTGAAACAAAAATCTGAATTCATTTTTATGCTTAGCTGAAAATGTTCTATCACCGTTCGAGAGTTAGTCCGACACTTTTGAATCACCCTGTATAATTTTGTTCAATCATGTTATCATTCTTACTTGGATACAAAACTAGAAAACAGTTGTTTTGTTCATTTAGGTTGTTTGTACATAGCAACGAGTGTGAAAACACAGTAAAGTGAGTGCAAACAGTAAGCTAAAAATTTACACTTATTAATTGAAGAAACGTCATTTTGACGGTTGATTATACAAAGTGATCCACAATGACTGAATCTGTTGGCAATCTTGAGTCTAATTTTTAAAGGTTACCATTGGAGTACGCTTTTGATTAACAACAATGCAACAATCTTGAGGGTACTTTCAAATCTCTTACTGATAACACAGTTTTTCTGGATCACTTCGTATAATTTTCGATTTTTGTCAAAACCATTACATAATTAAACAAAACGCTATACACTTTGTAAAGTCGGCTTCGCCTCGTATGTAAATCTGACACAACCTTAAGTGAACCTTTTGGTTTCTGCGCCCGTATTTTAGTATACTATTCTTTCTGTAGAATGTTGAAGACATACGAATCAATATGTCGTTTACATAGTTAGAAATAACAATATAATTCAAAAATGTGATACATTTGCATGTAAAATCCTCAACTACAATTGAAGTAGAGCAAAAGAACATTGCCATTCCTACTTTTTCTAATTTACTTAAAATGTTCATTG